CAGCAGCAGCAGCAGCAGCAGCAGCAGCAGCAACAGCAGACATCGATGAGTCACGCATGGTTTTTTACAGCACTGATGGATGCTACAATCCTACTCATGCACGCCTTCTAATAATAGGCGTGGATACACGCGGGTATGTTTCCATGCGGGACGAGGCTCCTAGCGTGTTATATTATATAGAAGCAATTTCGACACGAGACGCACATCAAAACCAGTAATACGATGAGTGATCGTAATCGCGTTAAAACTATCGCATGACGTCACCCTACCTGGGAGGTCTCTTTGCCCAGCCAGAAGTGGATGTCCCATTCTAGTCTGTTCTCGACTTGACGCGTCTGAAAGAAACAAGTGGCGGTTGACGTGCCTGTAAAAACATATGGCCACCGCTCTCGGTGTTCGTCAAGAGATTACGTCGCAACCACGCAGCGTACAGTGATGCACTGTCGGGATGCAAACGTCTATAGAGGGGAGAGGTGAACGGTTATTTTTGGGAGGCGGGATTAGAGCAATTAAATTATCTGGGATCTGGGAAATAACCAGATGAGTTGTTCATGGTTCCAGAATAGAAATCAACCGGTACGCGGAAAAGCCGAGATTATTTATTTTAATTAACCGGAAATTGGGAAATGGTACATTTAACATGGGAAACTGTGAATGGACCACTCAAACTGTTCTCCCAACTTATGCGCATACACTCCGCCACGAAGGGAACGATAATGTTTAGCTTCACTCATGTAGCAGGCCTATAGTGCAACCGACCTATGGCGCAACGAAGGGCTTCTCTGGGAGAGCTAGATAACACTCGTCCTTTCCGTGGATGGGCTTCAGGGGGTCCGTGAACCAGGCACATGCAAAATTGTGTGTTTATGTGCTTATGTGCATTTTCTGGGGAGGGGTCCGTAGCTTTCACCAGATTTTCAAATGGGTCCATGACTCAAAAAAGGTTCAGAACCACTGATCTAAAGGCTGGTGTGTGACGTCGGCCTATTGTTTTCTCCGCCACTTCGAACCTCTCTCAAGCAAGACTAAAAATATAGCAGGCCGCCTCGCACACGCGTGAGTTATATCGGACCTATGCAGCAGCAGCAGCAGCAGCAGCAGCAGCAGCAGCAGCAGCAGCAGCAGCAGCAGCGGCGGCAGCAGCAGTAGTCGCAGCAGCAGCAGCAGCAGCAGCAGCAGCGGCAGCAGCAGTAGTCGCAGCAGCAGGAGCAGCAGCAGAGCCCACGGTCCCCCCCTCTACCGCGTTACTAAGTTGTGCATCTTATATCGAGCAACGTGGCTAAATCCGACGCGTGAGCCAACATGCGAAACACTCACCTTCATGACGATGTAGGAGTCACCGCTATAGAACTGCCCGTAGTATTGTTTTGGCACTGGCACGACCTTCATACTCTGAAAGGCAAAGGGAAGAATAAAATGTTGTGGTTTTTGATAAACGGGGCCTATAGGTGGTCGGATAACCAAAAATGTCAGAAAATGCAGGAACAGGTAGGGGGAGCGTAAATCTATTCGCATATAAATTAGACAGTATAACTATGAAATGTGTGAAGTAGTATATAAATAATAAAAGTAGTAAATATAAGCAAGATAAATAACTAAATAATAGGGTACACATCTATTGCCACAAGGCAGCAGGGGACGGGTCGAAATAGTATGCATGTACGTGCAGTACAACACAGTACAAAAACCCATATAACACGCGGATTGACCGTTGGATGGAACGAAATCTGGGATAACCCAAGGTCGGACAACCCAGACTCTACTCTAATTGTATTTACAGCCCGCGCTTAGATGAGGCTAAGTACGTTAGTGCTACGCGATCTAACATAGTGAAAAACGAACGGGCGCTGAAGGAGTAACACTTCATTCATTCATTCATGGTGACGAACGACCTGACTTAAGAGCCATTTTGTTTCAACCTAGCCTTATTTATTACGAAATTGAAACAAAGCAACACAAGAAGCGCAACCAGTCTTAAGATTCCGAGATAAAATAAATTCCACATAAGTCAGTTAGGTAATAAGCGTAACAAATAATTCAGAAGCATAGACATGTGCGACTGTTGTGTATAGCTCCTTGTTATATATCAATCCTTTATGTATCAGCTATCGGTGTGTTGTGTATCAGCTAATTGTGTTCTTGCCCGTCGTATATCTGCCCGTTGTGTACAAGTCCATTCTATATCAGCCCGTTATGTATCAGCGTGTTGTGTAGTGGCCTGTTGCGTATCAATGTGTTGTATATCAGCTCTTTGTATATCGGTACTGGTCTAATTTCTCCTACTTGTGTAAATTCGCACCGGAAAACATATACGACTGGGACATATATTTACGATCATTTAAACGTATACGATTTCTGATGGGAGATAAGCTACAAGGCGTCTCCGCGTAGCGTTTTTACTTCGACGATAGTGTTACTGATCAGAGACGCCGGGCAAGTATTCATAGCTTCTTTACACTACTGAAATGGCCCGGCGGTAGTAAACGAGGCACACAGCTAGGCTGATGACCGCACAGCCGCTCACGCGTAATTCTAGCAGGCTTCTGGGTGGTGCAGAAGTGCCGCAACATTACTCTAGTATTCTGGGAACAGCGCGCAGGAGCGGGTGGCTGGCAATCAGGCGTTGTTGTGTAAACATTCTGCGCGAATAGAATCGGCCAGGGCAGGCGGCAGGCAACCTGCGTGCGTGTTCTACCGACGGACGTAAAGCTCAGGAAATAGGAACGCGTGAATTTGCATGTGGCAAGATGAATTTCCATAGGTAAAGATAAATCATAGGCAAATGATAAGCCAGTATATTATGCTGGGATAAACCAGTATGTGCTGGGATAAGCCAGTATGTGCTAGGATAAGCCAGTATGTGCTAGGATAAGCCAGTATGTGCTTGGATAAGCCAGTATGTGCTAGGATAAGCCAGTATGTGCTAGCATACGCCAGTATGTGCTAGCTAGCATACGCCAGTATGTGCTAGCTAGCATACGCCAGTATGTGATAGGATATGCTAGTATGTGTTAGAATAAGCCAGTATGTGCTAGCATACGCCAGCATGTGCTAGGCTAAGCTAGTATGTGCTAGAATAGCACTGCAAGTGCTAGATAAGCCAGCACGTGCTAGGATAGGACTGAATGTGCTGGGATATGATCGCATGCACTGCGTATATAGGCAGGCAGGCAGACAGACAGACAGACAAACAGACAGACGGACAAACAAACAGACAGGCAGGGAAGCAGGCAGGTAGGCAGGCAGGCAGACAGACAGAAAAACAAATAGGCAGACAGACAAACAGACAGGCACACAGACAGACATGTAGGGAAAACTGAGATAGCGATGTTGATGCGACCGGTTGGCGCGGACTTCTTAACGACGAGCCTATGTGAGAACTGACTGAGAGCCGAACTACGATCATGCTCCAGCGTTTGTTTAACATTCTCGCCAGATGTTCGGCTGCTGACGAACGAAGCCGCTCGTAGAGGATGCTGTACGAAGCCCGAGGATAAGAATTAACATCCTACAGTCATCCGTCATCCGGTGCACTCGCTAGAACCTCACAGCTGACTTATCTCTGCGGTGTTTACGTTAATAAAACCGAGTAAAATGAAAATGAGGAACTCGATATTTTGCACGAGTATATACAAATTTCCGCATTTACCCATAGAGTCACTTGTAATATGATGAGTGCACGGATACCGGCATTGCAGAGATAGCTAGCATACTGGCAGGATTACATGCTGTTTAAAAGGAAGGAGTGCCGAAATGCGCGTCATCACTATTTCACGTCATCTTTTTTTGAGTGCATTTTGTGTATATATGATTATAGTAATCATTCGCTATTCCATTTTAACAACCGCAACAACAAACCACCACCACCACCACAACAACAACAACAACAACAACAACAACAACAACAACAACAACAACAACAACAACAACAAGAATAACAACAACAACAGCAGCAACAACCGCAACAGCAGCAATAACATCAATAATAATAATAACAATAAATTAATACTAATAATAATATTAACAACGCCAATTATATGAACGTTAGCAACACGCAATAGCAGAACTAGTTCGAGAGAGTCCTTCACTGTGATTACTTTATAGTGTTCCTGATAACACATCATCAGCGTGATTGTTTTGCCACCCGCATTGCATTGGTTGCCACCCCGCTGTGACAGTGTATTTTCACGCACTCACCTCGATTCTCCATATCTCGAGCCCGAGTTTCTGCCCGACGCCCTGGAACGCTTCATCGAAGGGCTTGTCATCGGCGGCGACCATGACGATAGTGGGTAACTCGCGGGTGTCTCTCTGTCACACACTCACTCACTCACACACTCGGTCGTATAAAACCTGTCGGCTGCAACAACGAGCTGTACTGTGCGTGCGTGCGTGCGTGCGTGCGTGCGCTGCGGAGATACCCGTACTGCGGACGACGATTGCTCGGATTGGCTAAGCCGGTATGCTGTTTCGATGCAGTTGCAAACGAGATTTGCTTCTCCACGCGCTATGCGAGGCTCCTTCCGGAGGAGGCAGCTAGTTTGAGCCTGGTCGCGTCTATTGGCGGGTCGATGAGGATGGGAAGCTACGAATCTAAGAAACGCATGCTCCCGAGGGGGTGCGTGTGCATCGCTGAGGGGGTGTTCCTCACCGAGTCGCTGCATCCTTAGTACATGGGATGGCGGACAGCATGTACTCTTTTACTTCTCGCTTTACATTAGTAATCGAGCAGAGGACGACAACAATAATCTCCATGGACGTGTACATGGTGACAGTGATTGGTCGCCCAGGTTAATGCGGCGCCTGTGGCTCCGCCTCGCGCAATCGCATTCTTTTGCTCGTCTACTTCGTATTCTTTATTGAAGGAAGTTGGTGGGAAAATGTGAGGCAGTCTTACCGCCCAGTGCTACTAATCCAGTCCAGCCAACGCCAACAAGAACTCACGCAAGATGCATGTACTCTTCAGGTCGCGGACTGTCCGGTCGTTCAGGGCAATGCCCATCGTCAGATAAATCTCAACCGTAATCATGATTGGTCACCAGTTTGTTTAGAAGAATGGAGGCGGTTATTTTGCTGGGACCTTTTTTTCATTTCGAAATCGGACCATTTTTAATTAACTGGGAACGCGAACAAATACAGGTATTTTTTTCTGGCATTAAGAGAGGCTAACCGTTGACGCGAGAATTGCGCGATAGTTTAATTATCCGTGTTAAACTTGAGTTATGACTGATTTTTTTTACCACTTGGAAAACGGGACTGAATAACTCCACGATTCTCTTTATCCCAAATCTACCATCTTTAATTTACTCTAGCGTGGCGGCGGTATATCTGTTTGCTTCTCGCCATTCCATGAATCTGCAGGCTGCTGGTGTTGAACGGTCTCTGGTCAGACGAGCAAGACGGAAACCGAAAAAAGAATACCGTGGGTAACCTACAAGCCCCCTTGGAGACTACAGTGCAGGTTTTATTACCTTTGCGATGTTAGGGGCGCTGCGGTACGCTTACTCTTACGCTTGCCTGAGTTTATTAGGTTTAATTTGATCGAAATGCGAATATCTTTGTTTCATGTCTCCTTACAATATACT